TGTTTTGTGTCCTTCTACCTTAACCCCAAACAAATGTGAATAGGATATAAAATAGATTTAGAGTAGTATTAATTCAAACAGTTTATTATTATTATTAAGTATCCTTCTTTAGTTCGTTTTTTTTTTTTCTCGTTTGATTGTAATTAGTTTACTACTTTTTACACTACTACATTACAGTAAATGCTATGTACACCTTAATTGTCATACATATCAGGTATAATGCCACGTATTGTCAAAACTAGTTATAAGTATAATATGTATGATGTGGTAGTACTTATTAATAAATAAATAAATAAATAGCTGACCCGGCAAACGTTGTTCTGTTATATACATTATTTCTAGGAAAGTTGAAAAAAAAAATTGGGGTGGTCACCCTTGTCTTTTAGGAGGGGTATGAAAAATAGATGTTGGCCGATTCTCAGACCTACCCGATGTGCACACAAAATTTCATAAAGATTGGTCCAGCCGTTTCGGAGGAGTATGGTAACTAACATTGTGACACGAGAATTTTGTATATAAGATAATGATTTATTTACAAAATTACTATCTGACGATTCTTGTTTAAAATTAATTACCTATTAATTTAAATAAAATATTATTATCATATGTGCTAGGTACCTAAAATCTATTTAAAAAAAATAAAGAGGATATAAGTTCTAAAAAATTATATTAAACAAAATCTCGGCACTTAAAAAAAATCTTAAAAGTCTAATATCTTGAAAATGGTTAGGTTTGGGATATGGTATTTTTTATTATATATAACGTTGGCGACTGCTAAGTGGGGCTTTATTGTTCATTATATTTTTATGAATTGAATGAATTACTATACTATATGTATTTACAGCTCGGGCTTAGCAACGTAGTATTTGTTGAGTAATTAGATGTAGTCTGCCTGCTAAATTTACTTATGCATTTGGTATTGGTTAAGGTACCTTTAAATGTGATAGGATGATTCATGATCTTTTATAGGTCACTGCAGTGCGATTGATCGATTATTAGCTGAGGCGAGACGACCAAATTGCTTGATCAGATTTAAATGTTCTTTAAATCAGCCGTTTAAATCTTGTAGCGAGCGAGCGGTCCGATTTTGCCGTCGGCGCACACGAGGCGTCGGGTAGCATAGGGGTAATGCGACACTTGGCAAATGGTAATCACGTGTCTGACCTTGCAGCCTTGAGCATTCAGTTGTAGAAGTTAATTGACTCACTCTAAGCTAGGGTGTACGATGAATGGAAGTTTGATAACCACAACCAATAGGAATGTATTTAATTCTTTCATAATCTAAACTTTGAATCACTCTTATCGCAGTTTCCTTCTTGTTTAAAGCTACGAAACGTTAAAAGCCAGTGGAAAGATGTCCAGAAAGGTGTCAAGTCTTACAGTCTACCGCGGAATAAGTAGGGGCATTGGACCTCCCCCACAGGGACGGGAGCTGGCTTTTATGAAAAATATAGTTGAAAACTGCTTTACTCCGACTAAGGTGATTGAGGTACCATCGCAACTAAAAGAGTTTTTGAATTCCAACCAGTTCTTAATGTTGCTTTTTTGTCATTACAAAACTCTAAAATATTAAAGTTTAAACAAAATCCACTTACCTATATTTGCACTGCTTGTCAGCATTATCTTCCATCTTACACCTCCGCTCCACTCCTGACTTCGGATGGTCCGAACAGCGACGATGTCCGAACTCTTCCGATAATAATTGTCGACCACTTCCAAAGTGTACGATTATTTATCGTCCAAAGTTTTTATACACCGAACACGACCGTTATTGTTTATCACTATTTAATTTCCATGTTTTTTAGTTAATTCACTGTTTTATACAATTAAGAACTTGATAATTCCTTAAAGACTGCCATGAAAAAAATATGAAGTAGAAAGATAAATGAGTGTTAATACTTGCTAGATAGGGAGAACATACATCACTAAAGATCACTTCCTTATAAGGATAAGACACGCGTGCTAATTGCATTCGCTTTGATTACAATCGAATTATTATTGAACTACAATCGATTATATTAAATCAAGCTAGTTAACAGGTAAACAGGTCAAGACACAAGATGGAAATCTTGTCGCTCTTTCTATCTATTAATATTTAAATACGCAAGGGGTTCGTGATACAAATAGGTTTTTTATGGTATAGGAAGACAAACAACCAAGTGGTTCACCTGATGGTAAGCGACTAAAGCCACACTTGGACACCTGTATCTCAAGACTCACAAGTGCATTACCACCCTTTGATATCTCCCCCCAGAATCAGGCGGAGAAGGGATTTGGGCTTCGGTGTAAATTGACTACCCAACCCAAAAATGTTTTTAATCGCAGTTTATGTAGACATTTCAAAAAACTTTAGGGTAGAAAATAAGGGTCAAGAATATAAAACGAGACTTATACAGAAAGTTTTTAGATAGCGCGTATTAAAAATCTAAACTTCCATACTTTTATTATAAACCGGCTGGTACCGTGGAATTTTATAAGCGCTGTCTTAGTGGGTTTGATTCCCGGACCGTGCAAAATTTTAAATGGTTTTTCTGAGAGGAAAAATATCCTAAGTTTCTTTGTCATATAGATAGCTACCTGGTTGTTAAATATTATCAAAATCGGTACATCCGTTTAGAAGATTACCCAGACCAAACAGTGTGTAATCTTCTAAACGGATGGACAGTAAGACAGACAAAAAATATTTAAACTGGTTTTTAGGCAAATAACCATATGAGAATGAAAAATAAAACCATTATTTTGACATTACAAACAGACCTCAATTTCATTTATTTGTATAGAGATGTGAGAGTGAGTTTGTTTGTTACGCTTTCACGCCTAAACCACTGAACCGATTTCAAAAATTCTTTTACAAATGGAAAGCTACATTATCAGCACGTAATATAGGCTACTTTTTACCGCGATAACCGACATACACGCGGGCGGAACCGCGGGGAAAAGCTAGTGCACATATAAAACTGTTGTAACCTAATCAAATAATCAATGCACTATCTATCACACATGTTTTCATATTAACTTGACATACATTCATGTAAACAAGATTTGTAATACCTTTTAGGTAACTGCTACTGATAACATTATTGTAATGAAAATAAAACTTATTAAACATAGTTCTTTTTCGTATGTACTTCGGTTAACATAAAGGTACTTTCACACACTCGCACTTTAAATAAGTGTATTTTTTTTTTGTTACTTTAAATGTGTTTATTTTTATAGAAACTAATAATAATAATATATTTTCTCAGATAATACAAAACTCGTTACATATTTACATTTTTATATCATTAGAACATTATTTTCATGTTTGTTTCAGATGTACTGATGCTGCTCCCCCAAACCAGGCGTCTGTCCTTTGGGGACCAGTTTAAGCCCTATGAAAGATTCAGTTGAATATAACTTGTTTTATCCGGTACCATATAATGAAGTTACTACAAGCATAGAAACGTATTTTTATATAGTATTTTATATTTATTAAATAAATAAATAAAATCAGCCTTAAGTAATTAAAATACATCAATAGATTTTTTTTTATGTTAGAGGGGCAGACGAGCAGACGGGTCACCCGATGGAAAGTAAAAATCGCCGCCCATAAACGTCTGCAATTCAGGAGTCACAAACGCGTTGCCGGCCTTTTAGGAAGGAGTAAGCAGTTTTCTTGAAAGTTTAAAGGTCGTATCGGTCCGGAAATACCGCAGACGATAACCCGATTTATAGATTCACATCAACAGTCTTTACTAGTTAACTGTCCTTAGAAAGGAGGTTTTGGTCTACTATACCACGCTGGCCAGACGGGTTGGTATAGGGTTTGTTTCAAGTTTTCCTTCTCTCTGCAGTGCTGTTGACCTGCGTAGTTTGTTCCCTTATATTTATAGATTAATTGTATATAACTATTAAATTTAAAAAGACCTATCGAAAGTGATCAGTTTGCTATAGCTCTACCTGTAAATAAACAGTTACCACTCGTTGTTGGCTTCCATTCCAATAGAAAGGAATATTACTGGCGGTTTTTTCATTTTATGGAAAGATTTTTCATGCGATCCCTATTTATTTTAAAATTTTATGTACAAAACTAGCTGACCCGGCAAACGTTGTATTGCAAAACAAAAAAAAATAGGGATGGGTCACCCTTACCATTTAGGGGTATGAAAAATAGATGTTAGCCGATTCTCAGACCTACCCGATGTGCACACAAAATTTCATGAGAATCGGTCAAGCCGTTTCGGAGGAGTACGGGAACGATCATTGTGACACGAGAATTTTATATATAGGACTAGCTGACCCGGAAACGTTGTATTGCAAAACAAAAAAAAATTAGGGATGGGTCACCCTCACCATTTAGGGGTATGAAAAATAGATGTTGGCCGATTCTCAGACCTACCCGATGTGCACAAAAAAATTTCATGAGAATCGGTCAAGCCGTTTCGGACGAGTACGGTAACGAACATTGTGACACGAGAATTTTATATAAAAGATGTACAATAGCAAACTTAATGCCATAGGCATACTCTACCAGTCTACCGTTAGTGGTAGTACCGAAGGTGGTGTGGAAATGAATCAAAAGGTACGTAATACTTTAGTTAAGAATTTGAGGTTAAAAAAAAGAACTAGACATTAACAAATAATACCTCGCATAGACAAACAAGGGAATATAGAAATATATCTAAGTATACATTCCAAAATACATACATATCTTACAGACATAATAATACTCCGGTGTCTGTGAGTCCTTAGTTGATACTGTCCGGTCGTTCCGGCTTATGAACCGAATCATGTCCCACGGCAAGTCAATACAAAATACGTGTATGTGTTTTTCTGTGAGCTGTATGTGTTTTTGCGCGTGCGCTCGTTTGCATGTTCACCCGTAGTTCAGTGTGCAAGGATCCTTACAGGAATATTACAGTTAAATAGTTTTCTCTATGATTATTTATTATCTATATAGGTCGATATATATATATTAGACGGTCTATTTTTTAAGTTAATCAAACCATAGAGCAGTGAAGATGCGTGTAATCTTTACGTTTGTTTTGTGCTTAGCCATTGCATTCGGTACGTAGTTGATAACATAATAAAAAAAAAATGATAATCTATTTAACTAACGGGTAAATGTAAAGCATTTAAAATAAACAGAAAAAGGATTAGAAACTTTCTTGAAAGAAATGATTTTACTTACGTGTGAATTTCGAGGGTGTAAAATAATTTTGGGATCCTTTTTTATTCAATAAGGGTAAACGGGCAGACTATTCACCTGATGGTAAGTGACTACCGCCGTCCATAGACACAGGGGGAGGGTGGGCGTTAACACCATTGTTCTGTGAGGCCCGTGAGTGCCAAAACATGGCCCTCAAATGATTAACCTCCTCCAGGCACTCTGTATGGTGTGGTGTGGTCTATGACACCGATGTAAATAGGGGTTAAAGTATGAAATTGACGTTGTATAGTTATAGATACTTTGATTTCATGGTGTGAGATTTTCGTGTGAAACTTTTTGAATTAAAGCTGGTGAATGCGTGACAAGAGCGTTGCGAAATTTGTGATCGCGCGACTCGAACGGGCGTTGAGAGGGAGGTATAAGTTAGTGATGATAGAAAGAGAGAGAGTTACGTTTCGTACATTACTGTTACCACTGTACTGTACTGTACACACTGTACCAAGAAGTTTTACTTCAGTCGTGTGGTATAGAGGTTCTTCTTTTAAAAAATGTAAAACATTCGATTTTCGACTTTCAATTGTTTTCAATTCAGCTTAGACACGTTACATCTAAGAAAAAAACGAGTTTCAAATTTTTCAAATAGATTGCTACATTTCTAGGTGAAGAGCCGTTCACCAGGGACTTCCTTTCTAGGGTATACCTGGTTCCCCAGCTATTAGTACCCGAGACGGCGTGCGGTTTTAGTCGGTTCGAGTCCGACATGCCACCGACAGGTGGTATCTGAGGGGATTTCCACACGGGAAAAAAAAAAAAAAGGTGAAGAGCCGTCGTCTAGCCCTTATTGTATGATTCAAGTGTCAGTAAAAACTGTATTTCTTTAGTTAATATCTTCTCTAAAAAAATATCATATTTCAGCTGTGCCATCTCATCCAAATAAAATAGTGGGTGGTTTTCCTACTAATATCGAAAGCTATCCTTCTATTGCGGCGCTTCTCTACACCAGGAATGGTCAAACATATTTTCAGGCTTGTGGTGGGACCATACTCACTACCAAGGCCATTCTCACTGCAGCTCACTGTCCTCAGTAAGTTGTTTTTTTTTTACATAACAGTTCTGAAATATTGTTTTTGAAAAATGCCTTTTACACCAAAAGCAATACCTTTCCTGCAGCAAAATAACTTTTAGCATAAAAGTCATTTTTGCATGCCGAAGTAAGATGATGTTTTACAAGCGTACGTAAAATTTATATTGGCTTAGAGGGGTCCGACTCTCCAGAAGCAGAGTACGGCATTCAGGCTTCGCTTTCTCTTCCCACCTACCTTTGCTTTCTCTTTCTACCTACCTTTGCTTTCTCTTTCTACCTACCTTTGCTTTCTCTTTCTACCTACCTTTGCTTTCTCTTTCTACCTACCTTTGCTTTCTCTTTCTACCTACCTTTGCTTTCTCTTTCTACCTACCTTTGCTTTCAATATATGTACTTCTTAATGTACTTTCTGATTCCTGGAGTACCAGTTTTATAGCAATTACGTAATTGTGACTAAAATGATCGGCCGCTCATGTCTACAGGCGGACTGATGGTCGCTGGAGCCAACATGTGCTAGAGTGGAAACCGCAAAGAGGCAAACGTAGTGTAGGTCGTCGGTGACGATGGATCGATGACTAGAACAAAATGGATTGAGGATGCTGGATGGATGCATGTCTTTGGGGAGGCTTTCGTTCAGCAGTGACCGGCTGATGATGATGACTAAAATAATACTCTTCAAAATATGAGCGTTTTGATACGGCTTTGTCTACCTTTTCAGAGATATAGGCTTGAAGCTATCTTGGTTCATGTAAAACGGTCGGTCGAGGTGTCATTAGATTCGCCTCAGATGCGGGAGTCAAACGGCTATAATATTTATTTATTTTATTTTCAAAGCGAACAGTTCTTTTTAGCCCTATTTAAAAAATAATGACGAAATGTAATACTCGTTATTAATTCGTTACTCTCTTTTCACAGTGGCGACGCACCCTTCAGATGGCGGGCCCGTTTAGGTTCATCTAGAGCCAACAGCGGCGGCACGGTCTTTAACTTCGCTTCAATCTCTATACACCCTAGCTTCAATCCTAACACGATGAACAATGACGTTGCTATCATGCGCACGTCCAGTAACATAAACTACAATAACGCAATCCAGCCAGCTTCTATAGCGAGCCCTAACTACCATCTAGCTGATAATCAGGTAGTGTGGGCTGCTGGCTGGGGTACTACCTACGTAAGTATTAAATAATAGTTATTGATACTTCGCTTTGAATGATGTAGATTTTGTAAATCAATTCAGGTATCAAGAACAGTCTTCTTTTTCCGTGGCAAGTACACAATTCATTCTTTGACCTCTGACAACGTGTAAAATTAATTATATCAGGTTAAGTAACATAGTTCTACGGACCTTTCTAAAGAGAGACCTATGTCCAGCAGTGGACTATTAAAGGCTGTTGATGATGATGATGATGACGAAGTAACATAGTTAAGGCCTGTAAACATAACACACAATATTATTTAGGGTTTTAAGGCAAAGGAGAAAGAAATCAAAGTCTTATGACTTAGAAAACAAAGTATAAAATGAAATGTTTAGTAAATCACCAAGAATGTGCTGATAGAAAATACGCTCCGAAGTTAGAGACGATAGGACAAGTGAAACAAAGAATTTATCGTTTACATTAAAGCAGTTATGCTGTTACGGCATTATGGCATTTTATCCCTCGTAGTTAAATATAAAGTGCAGTCGCAGTTTTATTACTATAGTACAGGCTCTGCCTAATTTGTAATCAAACTGCCGTGTGTAAGATGTGTGAAATTTAGACTGGAAAATTTAATATTTAAAGTTTAAAAAAGTGAACATACCGTATAAGTACATGTTAGATTTTTTCTTATATTGTCATGAAAAGAGTGGTTTTATTTTGAATGGGTATTTAGTACTATTATCAATTAATAAACAACTTAAGCAAAGAATCCTGTTAAAGACAATTTTTACCTAGGGTAAATAGTATCTAGATTCATATAAATAGTTTTATTAACACAGCTAAGTATTTATGTTTTACGCGTTAGACAAGCAAGAAGGTCAGATGAAGTTTGATTGTTGTACACATACTATTCAATTAGAGAACTTTAATTGCGCGATGTACGATCAGTACGTACTCTTCAAGTTAACTTTTTTGATACCCTTATTTGATACTTATTTGATGATTTGGTATACAAGTCGTATATTTGCTTGCAGTCTGGCGGTCAACCTTCTGAACAGCTACGCCACGTCCAGATCTATACCATCAATCAGTCTACATGTAGGTCTCATTACGCTCCTGCGGGTTTGTCGATAACTGACAATATGCTGTGCTCCGGACACCTAAACGTTGGAGGTCGTGACCAATGTCAGGGAGACTCCGGAGGTCCTCTCTACCACAATCGAGTCGTCGTCGGTGTATGTTCCTTTGGCATTGGATGCGGTTTGCCTCAATATCCTGGTATTAATGCACGTGTCTCCCGATTTAGCTCTTGGATACAATCAAACGCTTAGTAACGGTATCTATATTATTTTTAAATGTAGATTTTTTAAATAAAAATTTACTTCTAATATACACTGTGTATTATTCATGAGTTTGAACCGTTAGAATTTAGCTTAACTTGCGTGATTAAGGAAACATACTACGAAAGTGTGATTCAAGTTGATAGCAACATGAATCACACTTTCGTAGTATGTTGGCTATTTTCTTAACGCGAATGAGTTATAGAACTCATTCGCATTAAGAAAATAGTGACACAATAGTGACGTATCGATCAAACCCCGCATTCTGACCAATCAGGTTCTAAGTTCGAAACGATAATTTCTCGGAACCTGATTGGCCAAATGAGCGGGACTTGAACGACTCACTATTTCCTTAACGCGAATGGACTATAGTATTCATAAAATGAAGTACTATACGTATTCTTAAGATGTGTTATTAAAGAGAACTTAAAAATGTCTGATGTTGTTTTAATGAAGGTAGAAGCAGTTCCGCGTCTAGTGAGAGCCAAAAATGTGAAGTTTGGCATTTACTCGTAAAAATTGCTAGTATTTTATAACATCTGTTCTACATAACCTATCAAATACTGAATACATTTATCATTTCGTGACAAAAAAAAAAAATAACCAAAAAAGTAAAACCGTTTTGTTTTAATGAAACTTAGAAAATATAAAACTGTTTAAAAATAAAATTATGAACAGCTTTTAAATACATTAATAACTACTGACTATAAATAAATGAAGTACTTAATCTTTAATTAGTTTTTCGAGTTCTTATGGAGACTGGTAGTCTAGCACCGGTGCTAGTATTTATCATTAGGCGCGCCGCAATTTGAATTGATTCCTTTCATTATAATAGTTAAGAGTAGATCCAGGCCGTTACGACCTCCAAAACCTATAAGAAAGTAACTTATTCTCGCCACAAAGTCGTTAATTTAAAAAAAATATATTAACAGTAAGCAGTAGAATACTGGCTATGGGTGTTTTTGTTCCACATAGGTTACAAAAACATTAGATGTGAACACTTTAATATTTATTGATATTAATGGAATTATCAGAACACCTCGTCAGGTCATTGTTTCAGAGAATTGAGTGGTAAATTATAAGAAAATGTAATAATTTTATTATGTGCGAGTAACGTATTGATTTCGTGTCAACGACTAAGTGAGTTCATTGACATACACTTCAATGTGAATGATTTAATTTTATACTCCTTTTATTGTCACCAAAGCCATGGTTATTGGTTTGTGGAACATTGGTAATATTTCTAGGGAGAATAGAATTGATCTCCTTTGATCCTTTAAAATTATTACGTGGCATGCAATTTGTCTGATAATACCAGTTTTATGATATAAAAGGCTAAAGAGACACAACTGCGTTGCTGCAAGTGGAGAGAGGGGAGGGGGGGAGGCGACTTATATTTTTTTAATGGGTTTAGTTTCTGTACGTAAAAAGGGTCATAAGACCTTCTTGGTGGTAATAGAACAACAATATATAATATATTTAATATCATATTAAAATAAAAAAACACTCCAGGTGCTGCCCCGATCGCTCATATATCATCTTGATAGTAAAAAATAAACAAAACTACACTGAATGAATGATAGATCTAATCTAAATGATCCCATGTCATGTGTTGGACGAAAATTTTCTTTTAGTTGTTTATAGCAAATTGTTTCTAATCCCATCAATCCTTAATTACAATTCCCTTACAAGAAGCAACCCTCGGATACATCAATGTCAATAGTAACACCATTATCAAGAGTATTTTTTTTTTTTGAACCACCGCGGAGCGCAATGGCGAAAATCTTGAAACAGTTCATATTAGGGGTTAAACTTTTGAAACAGTTCATAATAGGGGGAAATTCTACTGGAGCTGCAGTAAGAAATCATACGTCATCCTCCGTACTCGCCAGACCTTGCTCCCACGGACTACCATTTTTTTCGTGATTTGGACAATATTCTATGAGCCAGTCAGCCTGTGACCACGGCCGGTGCAACCTGGTCGAAACGTCAGGCAAACCAGAGGTATGTAATACCCTAAATAAGAGATCGCGCTAATTCCCGTTAGAATTATATTAATTATCATGGAACGCGAAAGTTTAAAAGTTAGTTCTACATGATAAAAAAGGACTTATGGATTCGCTTAGAAAGATACGCTCTAGATGTGGGTATAGTGTACAACCCCGGTGATACGAATTTTAAGGATTTCTTGCAAGTTTATGACGATCAACTACAACAAAAGAAGCGAGCTATAGTATTTGGGGACTTCAACATTGACCTTCTAACTAAAGACAGCAAAACAAAACAATACAAACAACTTGTAAATGCAGCCGGACACACACTACTAAATAAAATCAGTAAAAAATTCTGCACAAGAGACTCAAAAACTAGAAAATCTATACTCGACCATGTCAGCTCTAACCTTAAAAATGATAATTTTCATATGGCAATAATCGATTCATCAATGTCCGATCACAAACAGATATTTGTTGAAATAAAAAAAACGAAATCCCCACCAAAAATTAGAACCCGATACGAAGCGATAAATTACACAAAGCTACAGAGCCTCCTGAAATCAGCAAATATTGAAGAACTGAGTGACGACTACACCCTACTAGAAAGCAAAATAAAAATGATGATAGACAGAAGTAAAACAATTAAGACAAAAATCCTAAATACTCCACAAAGCGACTGGATAAACAAAGATATAATAAACAGCATCAATCAAAGAAACAAGCTTTGGACCACACTTAAAGAAAACTCACATAACAACAACCTCAAAGCAGAATATTTTAAAAAGAAACAACAAGTATTTGCAAAAATTCAAAACACAAAGGATTCATATTACTACAAGAAATTTAATGACTGTATTAATAAGCCAAAAAGAATATGGAACCTAGTAAATGTATTAGCGAATAACAAGATCAAACAAATTAGTGCTCCTTCAAAACTGCTTATGGATTCAAAATATGTAACTGACGAGAATGACATGTTCAAAATTTTTAATAATTACTTTGCTACTATTGGCCCACTATTAGCAAATAACATACCCAAAAATTTCCATGACAACTCTTCTCGCGCTCTTCCTTGTAATCCCCCTAGTGACACTCCAGTTTTATCTAGGCTATATCCGTGTTCTGAGGCTGAAATTTCTAAAATAATAGAGAAACTCGACTCCAACTGCAGTACTGGATTAGATGGTGTAAACACTAAAGCAATAAAAAGTATAAAAAATCTAATAGCTAGCGCCTTGAGTAAATGCTTCAATAAACTTCTGTTCACTGGAAAATTTCCTGATACCCTAAAAATGGCAAAAGTTACACCTATCCATAAATCCGGTACAACATCAGACCCCGGCAACTATAGACCGATCTCGGTGCTACCCGTTCTATCAAAAATATTGGAAAGAATTTTGTATAGCCGTTTAGAAAAACATTTAACTTCTTTTAATTTTATATCTGACAGACAATATGGATTTAGACCAAAAAGTAGCACACTTTCAGCAACTATCGACCTTGTAACAAAAATAAAACATAATATAGATAGCAAAAATATAGTCCTAGGTATTTTTATCGACCTAAAAAAAGCATTCGATACTGTATCGCATAAAATCCTGTTAAAAAAGTTAGAATTGTTGAATATTACTGGGAATGCCTTTAAAATTTTACAGTCATATTTAGAAAATAGATCCCAAATAGTTAAATTAGACAATATACATCAAAGTGACG